GTGCTATAAATCGAACTGTGCCATTTCATCCTCCTCTTCCTCTTCCTCTTCCACACACAGAGAAAAGCGAAACGACACGCGCCTCCACCGCACTCACATTCGTTCCCAGAATCCCAGCTCACCTCCAAACCATGGAAATGGAAACTCTTACCGAGGTTGTTCGCTCGTCGAAGCAGATCAAGTTCCATGGATTTTCTATGATACCTGCCATGTCCGATGGCGATGTCCTCAAATCGAGTCGATGGAACGTCGGCGGCTATGACTGGGAGGTTCAACTGTTTCCAAAATCTGTTTTACTTTATCTCTACTTACGTAGTGAAGTGCGCACGGACAGTGGTCTTAAGGTAACGTTCAGCGCTCGATTAGTAGATCCGAGTGGGAAGCTGAAGCCACACCAAGGGAATCCGCCCGTGTCATACTATAAGTTCAACCGTTCTGGAGAGTCTTGTTATGGAGGTGTCCTCACGACCAGAAGTGCTCTGGAAACATCAGGTTATCTCAAGGACGATGCTTTCATCGTGGAGTGCACCCTCGCGGTGCTCAGAGAAGTCGACAAAACTGCAGCCACTCGTCGCCCACGCCCAGCAGATGATCTAGTCCCGTCCTCCGGCTTGCACCACCACCTCGGCGAGCTCCTGCAAAAGGGGATGGGATCCGACGTGACGCTCGTCGCGGCCGGGGAGTCCTTCGCGGTGCACAAGGCCATACTCGCCTCACGGTCCCCGGTCTTCATGGCCGAGTTCTTCGGCGACATGAAGGAGAAGCGCTCGCCGCGCGTGGAGATCGAGGACATGGATGCCGCGATCCTCGGAGCCATGCTCCGCTTCATCTACACCGACACGGTGCCGGAGCCGGCGGCGTCGGAGGACGGCGGGGCGGGCGCGACGCACATGGCGCAGCACCTTCTTGCGGCGGCGGACAGGTACGGGATCGACGGGCTCAAGGTGGCTTGCGAGGACAGGCTCTACGATGGCGTCAGCGTCGACACGGCGGCGACGACTCTGGCCTTGGCGGAGCAGCACGGCTGTTACCATCTGAAAGCCAGGTGCGTCGAGCTCATTGCGGCAAACCTTGAGGCCGTCATGGCGACCGAGGGCTACAAGCATCTCAAGGCGAGCTGCTGCCCGTCGGTTATGGATGACCTCCTCATGGCTGTCCACAGAAGAAAGAACTGAAGCAGCTCAGTAATTGCCATATTCCATCGTTGTTGGCTACAAATTAAAGTAACTACTATATGCCTTTACATTTATTCGCTCCAGCTCAGTTTTTTTCTTTCTATCTGTGCGCCGTCCCGTATATGGATCTGCAAATACTTGAACTGAATACAAGTGATTTGTATTATTATCTCTGAATTTTGATCTGCACTAGGACACCAGGTAATTCATTTGTATGAACTCTGAATACAGGTAGTGTTTCATGTCAGGTGCATCAGAAAGTAATTCCAGCGCTACCTGGTTCAACTCCTCCTATGCATATAGAAATTACTAGTACTTTCCTTATAAAAAAGAAATTAACTAGTGTGCTGATGTGCTGGATTCCTTTGTGGGTTGCTTATTTCCATATTAAACTCTTTCTGTTGATTATTCTTCTGTGGGGATTGTGGAACATTAGAAATAAAATGGTGATTGAAAGGAAGTTGTCCCAAGTCATCTAAAGAGCTTTTTGTGAAAATCTTCAAAATGATGCAGAAATGGAAAGGGATGCTGAAGCCACAAGACTCACTTTTCATGGAGGAGAAGATGGAGGTCACGAAGGTCCTGATCTTTGTTCTGTTGCTGTCTAGCAAGGTTTTGGTCTCTTGGCGCTGCTCAAAGGCGGCGGCTGGTTTTGTTCTGGTTAGGTGTTGGTGGTGGGCTTCGTTAAGGCACTCTGCTAGCAAGCTGGTTTACCCCCAGTGTTTTTAGTTCCTGTTTTTCCTGTTTCTGTTTAGCAACATTGTAACATTTTGTTACCTTTGTTGGCTTTATAAAAGCTGGGATGTTTAGTACTTTCAATAATAGGGATGCCCTGTGTTTTTATCATGTGGTCGGTAGTGATGTCACATATATAGGGGGATGATCAATGTGTCCATTATTCTTGATTTTTTCCATGGCTGCAAGTAGTTCAAGGCATTTGTACATATGGTCTTATATCTGGTCCAGTTATGCATGCGTACTGCTTCTATGGTTCAGAGTTGATTTCGATCTGTACTTGAACTGCAATTAGATAGTTACTTGCTGTTGTATGCTTGTATACTGCTAGACTGGTAGGCCTGTTCTGTTGTTCTGAAAATTTAGAGCTTGGCAAAATAGCGACTTCATTAATCTTGTGCTAGTATAATAAGTAGGTGAAACATTAGTTGGCAGATCCATCCATTCAGTCGTTGATTCACTGCACTAAACAACATTGACATTAGCTCTGAGTATGTTCTGAAGCCTAAAGTGGAACATGTTTAACAACTAAGCCATCTATGCATTCCATCAAGTTCAATTAAGCTGCAGGTAGTCTTTGCTTCAGCACATCTATGGTTTGACATCTATGATCATTTTGATATGAACAGGTTCTAAATTGTGTGAAAATTTCAGGTTTTACCCAGCAAGTGAATGCAGTCTGCCAGTTTATCTAAACTATGTAAATATTATCTGAACCTGATGCCATGGCAGTTGAATCTTCACTTTGGAGGGTGTAGTTGACTGGCAGTTTTTTTAAAAGTGTGGTAGGATTTCTGAATCCTGCAAGTGATTTTGGTGCCTGCAAGTGGTTTGATCCCTGCATTTTTTTTTTTTTTTTTT